CCTGGACAGGTCTCCAGTTCACCAGAGACACCTGGACAGGTCTCCAGTTCACCAGAGACACCTGGACAGGTCTCCAGTTCACCAGAGACACCTGGACAGGTGTCCAGTCTCCATCAGGGACACAAAGAGACAATCAACCATCCACACTGTGTCACACCTGGAGTCACACAGAAGAGCTCCCGAAGGTTTCAAACTGACAACTCTGGACTCAGATCATCTGCTGCACACAGTTCTGATCACTTATTATCAATAATCATTTTATTGATAAATATCATGAGGAGTCCTTAACCTTAGGATGTTGTTAGGCAATTAAATATTCATGTATGTGTAAATTTATTACCACAATTGCAGGTGAGTCATGTAAATTTATGTTTTTATAAAACAAGTACACATGAACACACATGAACACACACATGAACACACATGAACACACACATGAACACACACATGAACACACAAAAAGAGAAATGTAAACCAGTCTTCACAGGTATCTAATGTCATGCAGCTCAGAGCCTCTTTCTCAAATGAGTTGTAATTTGGTCCCAAAGGGGGCGGAGTCAACAGCTAGGTGAATGATTAGATGGACGTGGATGTTAACCAATCAGCAGTTAGATGGATAATGTTCACGTGTTCAGGAGCTGCTCTGCGGCCGTTAACGGTTGTAATGGCGGACAGCAGACCGGGACTAAATGTCACAGTGATGTATTTACACCTGAGCCAGGGTCTGCAGCCAGGAGCAGAACCAGCGGGGTGTGAACTGGTCCCATCATGGACCAGCTTGTTTCTACTGGGAGCGTTAAAAACCAGCGGCTCCAGTCGCTCATAATAAAGCCGTGAAGCGCGCGTCTTACCTGTTACCTGTTACACAACATTTACCGTGACACACAACAGACACGTCCACTCACCCGCACTGCCGCAGTGAGCCCCGCCGGAAGCAGGAACAGGTGAAGACGTCGAACCGAACCTGTGCGTCACGTGCGTCAGATGATGAACACCTGAGAAATGTGTTCATGTGAGTGAAGTCACCTCTGTGAGGCTGTGGAGCCTCCTGCTGCTCCTCCTGCTGCTCCTCCTGCTGCTCCTCCTGCTGCTCCTCCTGCTGCTCCTCCTGCTCCTCCTGCTGCTCCTCCTCCTCCTGCCCCCCTCCCCCCGCGGACAGCGGGTCTTTAAATATCCACAGGGTAAAAATAGCGCGGCTCACCTTCCCGTCCTCAGCTCTCGGTACCGGACTGACTGAAACGGACTCCTGGTTCCCCCGAACCGAGCCTCAGCAGGCAGAGGGAGTCAGTGTGTCTGACCGAGTCCAGGAGCTGAGGAGTGGTGTGAGCCCAGTCATCCCCCCTCCCTGCAGGGAGCCGTGCTGGGCCAGACCCAGTAAGACCAGCTTCATGGTTCCACAGCTCAGCTCTCAGTCTGACTGGTGAGGAGGACATTTCATCTGAAACAGTCATGTGTCAAATAATATGCTTCAGTTTGATTATCTGAAAAAAACATTACTGCCCCCCCCCCTTCCACTGCACAGTTTTATCATACTGAGCTAAGAGCTGTAATGTTTCTGCACAAATCAGAGTTAAAATATAACGAAATGTTTTATTTACAATTAAAAATATAACATAAAATCTAGTTTACTTGAATAAGAACAACCATAGTTCTCCACACCAGAAGAAAGATTCTCAGCAGGTTGTGTGTTATATATATA